ACACCTCGCTTTTCAGACCAATGAGCTTTGTAAAAATCTACGCGTTTCAGAAAGGCAGGCATAGAGGAGAAACAATAATGTACATTATGTGGAAAATAATGTGTTTTTTTAACCTTAAACCTTTTAACCTTTAAACACATTTCATTACACCAAATACACAAAATAATGTTAATTTTAGCAACATCATATGACCTCTTTAAAGGAACATGACAACTAACCGAAAACTTCAATCACATAAATAACAGTTAATTCACAACATTTACCGTATCCTAAAAAAATATTTTTTACAATTTTCCCGGATCCCCCCAGCCCCCCCTCAATTCGAGCACCAGTTTTGTCTATACTGAAAAGCAAACTAGCTACTTTGGTTGGCCTTCCAAAAGAGGACACGACTAGAAATCAATGGTTAAGTTGTATTTACAACACTGTTCCAGAACAGTTCAACCCAAATATTCAGATGTGTGCAGCGCATTTTATGGAGGACCGTTTCCTGATTTCCATTTTATTCGAGCACCAGTTTTGTCTATACTGAAAAGCAAACTAGTTTGTTGCCTCAACATTTCAACTGGATTGTGTAATTTGTTCTAATGCTGTCTCCTGGTGGGGCAGTGGAATGATGCGTGAGGTTGGGAAATTGTGGAGCAACAGCTCAGAGGGTCACAGCAGTGATCCTGAAGAGGATGATGAAGAAGGGATGGCGTTCGGCGAGGCTGAGGAAGACTCTGAAGAGATGATGGACTTGAGTGATCTACCTACAGCTCTGTTTGCCTGCAGCGTGCATGAGGCTGTGTTCGAGGAGGACAGGCAGAGGGTAAGAACTAATATTTTAAAAATCTCTTTCTGTTCACAGTTGCATAGTTAAAAAAGCACTCACATCTGTTTATACAATAGTTTACCCGAAAATGAAAATTCTGTTACCATTTACTTGAAAAGTGTCATACTTTGAAAGTCATTGTTGTTTTGGACCTCACTGACATTGTACTGGCAAAAACAGTCCGTACAATGGTAGAAAATTCATACATGTTTGGAACAATGTTCATTTTTGAGTTAACTATTCCTTTAAGGGTCTATCTGAGCTTGAGATGAGGCATTGTGGGATGAAAGGCTTTCTCTTCCACACAACACACTCAGTTCCTCAGGCTTTGAGTGATTGCTAGGTCTCTTTATCTTTTTCAGCAAACTCTAGTTTTCCAAAAACGGGCATGTCCAAAGATAATGGAGGTCTTGTGAGCAGTACATTTTAACCTACATTCTGAAGCCAGCACTTTAAGGCCCCAAGGACAACATCTGACGTTCACACTGCATTGCCTCAGCATTCATGGAATATTTTTGCTGCCTGTTGAAGCTGTAACCTCTTACCTGAGGAGTGGCAGGGACTGAGAAGAGCTTTTACATCCCCTGTGGTAGAGGAGATAAGTGGAGATGTGATTTCTCTATAGAGAGAGAGAGAGAGAGAGAAACAGTCACTCAGGTCACTGGCTGAAATAAAGCATACCTGCTTCCTTCTGAAAACCTCATGTGCTTCTCTGAAAACATTAAACCCGAATACGTAAATGTTGTGTTGGGAACACAAATGAATATCTTGTTTGTGTACACACTCAGCAGTAAAACTAAAACCTGTTTCCTTGTTTTCAGATTGGTCTCTTCTTTAAGGCATCATATGCATCTTTAATCATTTTTTCCCTGAGGTCCACTTATAATATTAGTCAGGGTTTTTATTTTTCGGTATAATTTTTTAGCCGCATCCTTTAATAACTGCTTCTTTACAAAGCATTATGTTGTGACACAAGAAATGTGCTGTACAAAATGTGAAGGTCAGACTGAAATGATCAGGGACCTGTTTTCTGACAAAGAGGAGGATTTGTTTGACCTCTCTTACATTTTTCTCTTCAGAAATAATAATATTTTCCCCCCTACATCTCCTTGCATAATTGCCCAGTTAACATTTTTTGCGGCGATAGTTAATTATTTCAGGTTTCTGAGACCAGAAATCCAAGAATTTAGGAACAAGTTGTTTTGTTTTTTACAAATTAGTCTCTTATGCTCACCAAGGCTGAATTTATTTGACCAAAAATACAGCAAAAACAGTCATAATGTGAAATATTATTGCAATTTGAAATAGCATAACTGTTTTCTATTTGAATATATTTTTAATATGTAATTTATTCCTGTGATGGCAAAGTTACATTTTTAGCAGCAGTTCAGTGTCACATGATCCTTCAGAAGTCATTTTATTATCCCAATTTACTGCTCAAGAAACATTTTTAATAGAACAGCATTATTTGAAATACAAATCTTTGTAACATTATAAATGTCTATACTGTCACTTACGATTAATTTAATGCATCCTTGCTAAATAAAAGTATGAATTTCTGTTAAAAAATCTTACTGACCCAAAACAATAAGTGAACAGTAGTGTCTTTATTCATTCATATTCATATTTTCATAATCTTGCCCCGTGCTGAAACTTGCTTCTAGCACATGTTCACATTCAGACTTCGAAAATGGCACATTCAAAAGAATTTTTTGTAACAATGTAAAGATCTTTTTAAATTAAATTATTAATTTCTTAATCTCTTTGTGACTCCAGACTTTTAAATGGTAGCATAAATAAAACCTAAAAATTACCATTAGCATATATTCTGTTTAGATTCCTGTTAGGTTGCCACACAAACCTCCCTGCAACATTCTTGGAATGTTAGTACAGGTTACAAATATAGACTCTAAAGAATCTTAAGAGGTGTTTCTAGAATGTTAAGAAGTAGTTCTTTAAAAAAAACAAAAAACAAACAGGAACCATATAATTAATGAGTACAACTGAGGCTTGGAAAACATTGCAGAGTGTTTGCTATCAGTACCAATAAGAGCATGACTTACATCTCTGATATTGTGTGTGTGTGTGCTTTATGACTGTGAATGTTGGTGCAATTTGTGTGTTTGAATAGTATATTTGGGTCATTATCCTGAGGGTAAAAAAGATGGATATAACAGTGAGGGCTAGAGGTTACCCATAATGCCTTTTACTCTGTGACCCTGCGCACTGCCCTGTCTTGTACTAATGAGTGCAGTTATCCAGAGCAGCCATGAATGTACTGCTGTGAGTGACAGTGAAATGGTATTTTGACAATCACTTTGTAACATTTATCTTGAGACGGCTATTCAAAATCACACTTTTGTCCTGTCAAAACACCACACATTTGAAGTGAATGTATTGTACGCATCCCTGAGGACTAAAAACGGATCTGTCTCTCTCAGTTTGAAAAACACAGAAATGCTCTTTTCTTTCTGCTCTTGAGATACACTAAGTGTGTGATTTGTGTCTTTGGGTGGAGCTGGGAGCATCTTTGCGGGCAAACAGCTGGCCTTTATTTCTGCTTCAGAAACTAGAGCTCTCACAGACCCCCCCACCCCAACCCTGAAAATCTCATTTACTTTGTGTGAGTGGCACGAGAGAAGCTTTCCATTTTTGCCTTTCGCTCTCTCTCTCACACACACACACAAATACACACTTCATAAGTCTTTCATTTGGTTGCGTCTGGCAGCCTGGCGATGTTGTTTCATTAAGACTGTTGACCTGCTTTGGTGGCACGTGCCTCGACCCCTCCTCCCCACTCTGTTCACTGAGCTGTGTCAGGGTCAAAGTCCTGCCTGCCTGCCCCAGAGCCGAGACTCTCCAGATAGGAGTCAAAACAGTGGATCTGAGCCATGTATCCTTAGATTAGAGTCTATAAAATAGTCCCTTTATAAACTCACCCAAGAGATCAGGCTGTTGGGAATGATGATGGATTTGATGTGTGATATGTAAAGGATAGTTTACATTCAGCAGTCATACACAATCACCCTAGGGTTTTCTGATTATGCTCACCAGGGCTGCATTTAAAATACAGTAAAAGCAATAATATTGTGAAATATTATTGCAATTTAAAATAACTGATTTCTATTTTAATATATTTTAAAGTTTAATTTATTCATGTTATACCAAGGCTGAATTTTCAGCAGGCACACACGTGTCACATGATTCTTCAGAAATCATTCTGATTTGCTGCTCAGTAAACATTTCTTATTATTATCAATGTTGAAAACAGTTGTGCTGCTTAATATTTTTGTGGAAAACCATGATACATTTGTTTCAGGATTCTTTCTGTAAATTACAGCTACTAATACAATATTCGACCCAGTGTTTGTTCCATGTTAGAAAACACATTTTGTTTTTTTTATGCATGTTGTCTTTTTATCATTTTAATTAAGTGCACTTCACTTTGATTTTAACTTTTTTTTTTTTGTACAATAAACAGTTTTGCTACTGTGTTCCCTGTTAAAAAAAAAAAAACAGCATACGCTGGTTAGGTATGTTTTGATGCATGACTGCTGGTTTGAGCTGGTTTAAGCTGATCAGGACCAGTTTAAACCAGCACATGACCAGCTAAGGACCAGCTTAAACCAGCTCAAACCAGCTGCCATGCTTCAAAACATACCTAACCAGCATATGCTGGGTTTTTTTACAGGGTTGGGTCAGCACTTGATGTCCAATGTGAAATCTGGGTCCTGAAGCAAAGCCACTTCCTTAAATGACACATCCACACATTATTTATTATATAATAAGGTCATAAATAGATATACTGTATTGCTCATTTCAGTGCTGTGGTGAGTAGTCCATAGATCTGCTGCTGACCCGTGGATGAAAAAGAATTGCAAAGAAGATAATGAGAATATTATGCTGTTATTATTCAGGACAGGATGTGGCTCATTTACATAGGTGACATTTTGGTGTTGTGTATAAACAAGTTCCACAGGGAAAACCATAGAAACTGCAATAGATCTAACTCAGTGATTGTTAGAAATGCACAATACCTTACCTCTGCAGTGTACTGGAAATACTATCTGATCTGTTTTGTGTCGCTTTTTTTTACCTTTATTTTCCACATGCTGTTTTTTTTTTTTCAATTATTTTTCTCTTGATATCTCAGCTTGTCTGTCATATTAACTACCTGACTTGCGGCTTACCTTTATCTCTGTCTCTTCTGCATCTCATATCTGCTGCATCACCTTCTACTCCTCTATAGTTTCCTGCACCTGAACTCTCTCTCTCTCTCATGTCTCTCTGAATCTCTCTCTCTCATTCTTTGCTTTGTGATATAAATAGCTTGCCCTAGTTTGTGATAGCTGCAGTGGTGCCAGGGGCTGGTACGGCAACACATGAGCGAGGTAGACTGGCAGTCTTTACACATGTACATTTGTAAGTCATGATGGTGCAGTGTCTCTGCAATGCTGTGTGTGTCTGTGTGTTTTGAGACTGACCCTGCTAAGCATAGTAATTTATGGTGCACAAATTTAAAGGGACACTGTAAAAAAAAAAAAGTCAGTAGAAAAGGGAAAAGGTACTGGTCATTTTCTGCCAGGACATTATATGTTTAGGATATTTCCTTTAAAACACAACACAATGCAATGTGTTGCATTGCATGTTTTTCACATGCAGTGTGCAATGTCAAAAATTAATGCAGAAAATAACATACATTGGGCCCTATTTTTACTGACTTTTTTAGAGTGGACAGTCCATTGGAAACAGCTTACTGTAAAAGGAAAAGAAAGTATATTTAATTAACTGAAGTAATGAAAGAATACATATAAAATCTGTTTTAAACCTATAAATCTGTTTTAAAATTTATAAAATGTAATAATATTTTCACAGTGTATATATATATATATATATATATAAAATATTTGAATCAAAGTTAATCACTAATAGCTTTTCCACAAGCTGAGGGAATACTAGTATATAAAAGGTGCACGGTGTATGCACACACCTTTATT